GAGAACAATAGGGCGATCTTGAGCAAAAATGAGATGTGATCTGACTTAACGTATAAAAGGGTCATTCCGGTGGCCATGGTGAGAATAGGCTGTCAGGAGACAATGAAGAAGCAGGGACACCAGTTAGGAGGCCATTGCGGTGAGCCAGGTAATTGACGGTAGTGGCTCAGACCAGGGCAGTAGCTGTGAAGGTGGGGACAGTCATCGGAGTCTGGGTCTATTTTGTACATGGACCCAAAAGAATTCACTGATGTTTTGATGTGGTACTTAAGGGGAGGAGAGGAATCAAGGATGACACCAAGGCTTTTGGCTTGAACAACTGGAAGGACAGAGTTGCCATAACTGAAAGGCAGAACAAAATTAAAGAAGCATTAAGAGAAAGTATAATATTATATATTTACATATATTATATAACAATATAATAACATTTCTATAGTCTTGGATTGATTGGGAACGGCTTTCTTAAGGAAGACAAGAAACTTAGAAGCTACAGAGAAAAAAAATGCTAGACTAACTACAACAAAATGCAAACCTTCTTGATGGTCGAAGATGTAAAATTTTTTAAGAGGAGAGAGTGGAAGAAAATATTTATAATATATATACCATACTTAATTCCATTTTAATCGACTCTGGATTATCAGTCCATGAATTAATCCCTAACTGTGGGATATGAAATTAATATTCCTAAGGTAGAAAGAGCACTTCAATGACACCGAAAGACAGATAATTCAATGGAAAAAGACTTAAAACTAAGTCCATAAATAGGCAATTAACAGGGAAGGGAACACCAATTAAGCCAGCAAACCTATAAAAAAAGGCTCAGCTTCGGGACGCCTGGGTGGCTCAGTTGGTTAAGCAGCTGCCTTCGGCTCAGGTCATGATCCCAGCGTCCTGGGATCGAGTCCCACATCGGGCTCCCTGTTCTGTGGGGAGCCTGCTTCTCCCTCTGCCTCTGCCTGCCACTCTGTCTGCCTGTGCTCGCTCTCTCTCTCAAAAAAAAAAAAAAAGGCTCAGCTTCATTAGAGAGCTACAAATTAAAACAGCAATGTGACACCAGTTCTCACCCACGGTACTAGTAAAAATAAATGGCATACTTTTCATTGTTGGCAAGGCTATGGAGAGATGGGCACTCTTATACATTCTTAATGGAGGTGTCCATTTGTAAAGGATTTCCAGTGGTCAACACTGCAAACTGTCCCCAAATTTAAAGCATTTGTCTCCTTTGATCCAGCAGTTCCATTTCTAGGTACCTAATCTACAGAAATACTCATGCAAGTGGGCGGAGATGTAGACAAAGGGATGTCCATTTCACCGTTGTTAATAATAGCGAAAAACTGAAGGTGATGCAACACTTGACCAACAAGAGAATGGTTAAAGGAGTTGCAGTACATCTGCACAGTGAAATACCAAGTAGCCTTCAAACAGATAAGGTAGCTCTATAGATGACCCAAAGAGATAATTAAAAATGCTATTTCAAGGGGAAAACAAACTAAAGAATGGTATGTGTAGTATGATTACCTTTATGACTCAAAAAACCACCACTGTGTGTGTGTGTGTGTGTGTGTGTGTGTGTGTGTGTGTGAATTGGCAGAAGCTCTGAGAAAAGCATGAAACTTCCATTGCTTGTGTACATGGTGTGTGATTACACCCATGGGTGAGAGAACGGAGACTTTCTTTTTATTCCCCGCATACTTCTTTTTTCTTTGAAACCCCGTTACAATCAAAATGTGTTATTTTTGTAATTTTTAAGTTAACAAAAATGAGAAATAAGTCAGAAGCTGCAGATTTTTGAAAGTTCCCAAAGAATCTTGGAAGCAGTAGCCTTGGGAGAGACACAATGTTTTTGAGCCTCTGTTTTTTTATACAGAGAATGGAGATAATTCCTCTCCTCTTTATTTTAGTCAGTTGTGAAGATAAAATGGAAAAGCAGCTTAAAAATCATAAAGCCATATAAAAATACAAAGGATATTTAACAATACTTCATGCACTAGTTAATGACCCACTTCTTTGTCAATAACATCCAAATTCGATACCAAGAAGAGAAATTAGATGATCTCTTTGAGTTTGTTTTGACAGAATTCTTCCTGTCCCAATTGGGCCTTACATAAGCAGTAATGTAGGCATTTTACTTATATGTTCTAGAGAGTTCTGTGTTTGTCTGAGATATTCTGGTGTAGATTGGTTTTGGCAATAGCCTTAAGTCATACTCTCCACCGCACCCATTTCAGGGCCAGCTAGCTTGCACAGTAGCAGATGAATTAGAAAGCTTTTACTTAGCCCCTGCTTTGTGCTTAGCATTCCACCATGAGCAGGTGACCAGACATCCAAGTTCACCTGGGACTGTTATGATTTACACCATCTGTCCCATGTAATGCTAATAGCAGCCTATTCATTCTCAAAAGTGTCCTAGGTTTAATGACAAATTATATGTTCACCTATGGGGTATGGAAGGAGACACAGGAATCCCTTGGCTTATGAACACCAGACTTAGAAACTTCTTTTCCTGTCCCAGCACTTTACCACTGGAAATGCCAGTATTACTTTCATGGATCTTTGGGAGACTTAATGGATTCAGAGGTCAAGGCAGGGTCAAGGCCGAGAAGAGTTGATGTGGACCTCCTCTGCAAATCCTCCTCTCTCAGACCATTTCTCTTTATTGGATTGCCTGGTACTCCTGTTGGGAGAGTCATTTGGGGTGGGGGAGGCAAGCATTCTATTTTCAATTGTGTAAACCAGGTGGGGAATGTTCATGGCAATTGTTCTTGTTTTTTTTTTTTTTTCCTTTCCTAACATGGAGCCGATTATCTGCCTGTACAGAGGAGGAGTGTTTCTGGGAGGCATAAGTTTAGAAAGGAAAAGGTAGTCTTGGAGTATGAGTTACTCTGGTGAGTAAGACCCTCCCTTAAAGGCAAGCAAGGAACTCAAGGGTCCTGGGGGCCATGAGAGTTGGGGCCAGAAAGGAAGGTGGGTGTCAAAAGCATACAACTGTTATTTGGGGGGAGGGAATGTTGCTTTGTGCTCAACACATGACTTAGGAAGGTAAAGGAATGTTCTTTTTTGGCCACCTGCTGCTCCTTCTCCTCTTCCCCTGCTCTGTATGTCCCAGCACCCAGAATTCACACCTATGATAGACTATGTGTCTTTTAAATCTGGGAATGAGACTTCCATTTAAAGCATCATGCTTTGGCAGGAATGTGTGCTCTTGGATTCAAAGGGCTTACCAATACATTTTGGTATATAATCCTTCCTAACTTGGGGGCTGCCTTACAAGACTTTGTCTTTGTCCTGGAGGGGCTTACAGCTATTGGATTTAGGGGAGACCCTGTTAATAAATAGGAAACTACTGGAGAGCAATCAAGTGCCAATCGTAGGGTATTAGTTCTAAGTACAATGCAAATCTATCCAAAGTAGAGCCCAGAGAGGGGTGGTAAACGTTAAAAAATAAAAAAAAAAAAGAACTTTTCATATAAGACACCATGACTGATCTGTCCTAAGAATATGCTTGGACAGCAAGGGGATAGAGGAGAACATTCTAAGCAGAGCTGGAATTCACCTGGAGCTGGGGTCTGGCACCAGCCATGAGCATGGGCAGGAAAGGCTGTGGGAAAGAACCAGGAAGTAGTGGGAAATTGGCCGGCTAAGGCAAGCGGGGCTCAGACATTTCCTATAAATTAAAGTTCCTAAAAGAGGGGAGAGCCTGGCTGGCTAGGCTGGAAGAGCATGCGACTCTTGATCTCAGGGTCGTGAGTTTGAGTACTGCCGTTGGGTGTAAAGATTACTTAAATCAATGAAAACTAAAAAAAAAAAAAAAAGTTCATAAAACACATCACTGCAGCTTGCTCATGTTTCGTGTGACCAAACACTCTGAGGCAGGAAATTGTGACAGCACTTTTCAGTGGGTGAAGTTCAGATGAGGGGAGGGTAAGTCTTGGAAGCCTGGGAATCCAGATTAAGGATTGCAGTCCTGTTGGAAGGAGTTCATAGTGGTGTTAACTCAAACTACTTGGTCAAGGTTGGAACACTGGAACTAAAAACCTGGGGTGGAAGCAGTAGATTGGTGAAAGGATAGATCTGAGAGCCATTGCACAGGCGAAAACAGCAGGACTTAGAGATTGCCTAGGAGGAGCCAGAGGAGGCCTTCATGCCTCTCAACCTGAACACAACAGGAACTCTTGTAAGTGAAGGCTTTTCACTGAGTCAACCTGCCATTTCCTCCTAGGGAAACTTCTTTCCAAAGAAATCCTGTTGCATCTACTCATTAACCTAATTCTGCAAAAATTCAGACTCATCCAATGGAAATCTTAAATTTTATTCACTCACTTGATGGTGCAGTGTTCAGTTGGGGAAATGCTATGGGGTTTCTAACCAGGAAAACCAAAGCATGCTATTTGTTCTATTGCCAAAGTGGTTGAGAACTGCAAGGGCTTCAAGAAAGTGTGACATGTCCAGAGTTTGTTCACACAGAAACGCATGCTTTTTGCTGCCTAACCCCCGTGTCCTTCCTGTGAACCCTGTCTCCTGAGAAAATCTTAGAGCACCAATTTACTGACCTAATTTGCAAAAGAAGGTTAGTGAATCCATGCTGGAAGTCTTCGATGGAAATATTTGAAATTAATTAGGCTTGTCGGCTTTTATTTGTATAGGCTCACTCCCCACTGTATACCCCCCCCAAGTTTAACTTTTTAGTAAGATTGATTTTAAACACTAAAACTCAGAGAATCTGTGTACAAATAGCCTGAAGAATTTAAATGCATGGGTTTATTATTAACGCAGTAGCAAATATATCAAGGAAACACGCCCCATGAAAAGTGTTTCAAAAGAAACACAAATCTGCTCTGAGAAAGGACTGTACCCAATAAGTAAGCCCGAGGAGGCTGTTTGCTCCGTGATGCCTGCAGATAAGCCTGGCAAAGCTCGGTGTGATTGAAGGAGGCGTTTGAGACTCAGCCTAGCCCAGGCAGGCGACTAGCCTACCGCTGTGCTCCGGGAACACTGGCACAATGGTGTTCGCATTTTGGAAGGTCTTTCTGATCCTAAGCTGCCTTGCAGGTAAGGAAAGGATCTCCAAACCATTCCAGATGATTGGGGATGGAGTTTTCTTTTAAGACGAAATCGCAAATTTTTGCATGAATGTTCTCCTCTTGCACTTCAAAAGAATTATGATTACTTTGCTGAATAAAGTAATTTTCAGACCTCTAGTTTAGCAAATATAGGCCGCATTGTAAATGTAATTTTATGGAGCTTCTGAATTAAAATTTTCTCAGAATATCACAGTAGTTTTCTTTCTCTCTTTCTTTCTCTCTCTCTCTCTCTTTTAAATTTGGAAGGTGAACAGATTAATTTGCTAGGAAGCTGAAGTTTTGCACCGAGGATAGATTTTTTTCTCATTCATTTTAGTGTTCCTTTTAAGGGAACTCGCTATGATCCACTTGTTTTGCTATGACAAGCAGAGCCCGGCTTGGAGGGCCTGCTATGATTTACTCTGCAACATTTCTGTAGCAGCTGCAGTTTTCCAAACTGAAGATCAAGACCGTATTTTGGAAAATATGTGAATGATTTATTGTTGTGCACGATATGGCTGTTTTCAGGAATTGGAGCAAAACATAATCATTTTCAGAGTCAAGGTCCTGATGTGGGTAAGACCCAGAAGAGACCACTAATTCAGAAAATCCCTTGGCTCGGTTTTTCAAATACCAAATCCATTTGAATCTGTTTTTATAATATGAACTCTATGGTAGGTACAATAATATTGTTTACAGTCACTCTGATATCGTTAAGCCATCAGTAATATTAGGCAGTCATTAGAGGGAGGGTCACTGAGTGTATTTAATGACAGAAGAAAATGTCCAAGATAAAATATTAAGTGAAAAAGAAGACACACACATTTGACTAAAATAAATTGCTGGAAGGTTATATACCAAAGTGCTCATGGTGATTGCTTCTGGGTGATGGGAATCTAGATGATTTTTTTATTCCCCAGTTTTTCCTTATTTTCTGGAGTTTCTACAAAGAATATTATACTATGTTCATAATTAAAAAGTGTGAATTTTCAAAATGGCATGGTATTCAGTAATGGTTCTCTAAATGTTCATTTCTACATGTTTAAACATACATGTTCTATGGAGTCACCAGAAGGCAATATTGTATTTATTCTATGATTTAACTAGGACTTAGAACAGGAACAAGCCACCTTTCTCAGCTTCTATCCTGGTGGGAACACGTCACGATTCTTCCTCCCCCCACCCCAGGAATATTCATTTTAAACTTTAACTTTAGACAGTGCAAGTCTGTGTTCCCTCTCAAAGATCTTCCAGTCATTAGCTAATTTGGTTGCCCCTGGGCCTTCTGCACGAGGCCCCTAAAATCACACATGTAGTCAATAACCATTTCCTTACGTGAGGCCTTATGCAGGCCTATGCTTGACACAAGTTTTGGAATAGTTATAAGAATGGTTTTTACTATAACTAATTTTTACTGGTTACAAATGTAGTATATGGGTATTGTGCACAAGTTGAATATATGAAAACATATAAATACAATAAAAATCACCAGCACTCTTACCACCCAGAGGTATTGGGTGAATTTCTTACGTATATTTTTTTCCTTTGCAAGTATGTATACACACACACACACACACACACACACACGTCTGTGTGTGTGTGTGTGTGTGTGTGTGTATAGCATGACAAAATTGGGTCTCTACCTTGTATACAGTTTTCTATTTTTTTAAAAATTACTTAGACAATGTCACGATCTTATTTGATAGTGACTTTTAGAACAAGACCCAATCGGAGTGACCAATAAATACTTCAGAGCCTTTGTTCTTCCATGACTATAAGGCTGGTTTTGTTGGCATATAGACTATACTGTATTTCTGTATCTATAGAGTCTAGCTGGTCCATAGCAAAATATGGCATTGTCAGTCTAGCAGGTAGAATGGAAATATGGTATAATATATTATTGTTGGCTATGCTTACGTACATATGGAAGTCGGAGAAAGGAAGATTTCAGTAATCTATACTTGGCATTGGTAGTGTCCCTCAGGTGATCCAGATACATCTGTGAAATAATGATAATGTTTTTACCAATGCATAATTTGATGTGCTACCTGGACTTGTCTCCCTTGTCAGGAAGACTATCATGTTTTTGGTGTCAAGCACAGTGCCTGGCACATTGTAGGCTCATAGTAAATGTTTGTCGAAAGAATGAATTACCTTCTGAAATGCTGCCATTTGGAACAACATAGATGGACCTTGAGGGTGTTATGCCAAGTGAAATAAGTCAGACAGAGAAAGATGAATACTGTAGGATATCATTTAGAAGTGGAATCTACAAAAGCCAAACTCATAGAAACAGAGAAGAATGATGGTGAGAAGGGGCTTGGGGGAGGAGAGGGGTATTAGACAAAGGGTATAGATTTCCAGTTAGAAGATGAGCAAATTCTGGGGATCTCATATACATGACTCTAGTTAATAACACTGATATACCTGAAAGTTGCCAGAGAGTAGAACTTAAGTGTTCTCACCACAAAAAAGAGATGGTAATTATGTGATGTGATGGAGGTGCTAGTTAACACTTTGGTGGTAGTCATTTTACAATATGTAAGTGTATCAAATCAACACATTGTACACTGTACACTCACACTTTGTTTTTTGTCAATTATGTGTCTGTAAAGCTGGAAAAACAAAAGAATGAATTACCTTCCCAAGCATTCAGAAATAATTTTCATATGCATATTTAAAAATCAATTTTCTGTACAATTAAGCAAGACAGATTTTAATCAGAATCTTTCTGTGTAATTGTATATGTCAATTATACTGCAGTAAGAGTTGACATGATCAAATCATCTTTCTGAGGACTACTTAGGAAGTCTTAGGTTACATTTCATTTCAGGAAAATTATTTCCATCAAAAATGTCTGCGGCAAAATGTTCACACATATCATTTGGATACTTGTAATATATATTAGTCACCTGTTAAAAAGATATTTTAATGTTATTTTCATTTTCTGGAGTTATGTGTTATGCATTTCAAAGCAGTAATATCCTTGAACTTTAGTCTCATGGTCAAATCCAAAAAGTGATCATTTGGTTATATTATAAGTCAAAAACGAAGCAATTATATGTGAAATTGCTGGAAATTAAATCACTTCGAAGGCATCATGTTAAATATGGTTATTTGATAAAGATTTTTGCTGTGGTGTATTAAGATAATAATTCCCTCGTAAGCACGGTGTCTGCCATATTGTAGGCAGTAAGTACACAAGTGAACAATTATTACCAAAACATGGAAAAAAAAACTTTGCAAAATGTTGATTGCTTTATGTATACACTTTGGATTAGTTTCTTTTAATCATCAGCCCTGATTTTTAAAAACAATCTCACATATTTCAACCACATATGTGTTGTTTTGTTTTGCTTTCTCATCCAGCCAGGACACTGAGGGAGAGTGCAGTTCTGAGTTTTGTTTAAATCAGGCGCTAATCTATAGGTTGTTATTCATTCACTGTCTTGTTAACCCAGAGATTTTTCTGACTTTTTAAATTTTAAAGAAATTTCCCAATTTAAAGTAAGTTAATCCAAAGGGAGGGAAATTTTCTTTCTTTCTTCCTTCCTTACATCCTTCCTTCCTTCCTTCCTTTCTTTCTCTCTCTCTCTCTCATTCTTTCTTTTCTTTCTTTCTTTCTTTCTTTCTTTCTTTCTTTCTTTCTTAACTGGCAACTCACAGAATCACTTTCAGTTTAAGGCTACATTCGTGCTGTTCACTCTCTGCACAATGACTATCTCGGTTTAAATTAATTCAAATGAAATGAAATGAGAAATTCAGTTCCTCAGTCACACTAGCAAAATTCCATGTGCTCAGCAAACACGTGTGGGTGGTGACTTACTGAATCGGATGGTAGTACTGAGATACAACATTTACACCATCACAGGAAATCCTCTTGGATGGACTAGAGGCTGATCTCTATGGCTTAATTAATGTGCACTAATGGGATCAGGCGACATTTTAAAAAAATTCATCTGGAAATATGTAGCTTTGGGTTCTGAAGCATGTTGCTCTCTCTGGGAGGGACAACTTCTGAAAACTGTCTTTTCTTCAGAATTTAAGGATTGATTGTTGTGCTGTGGGTATGAGGAATCTGGGCAAGAAAATGGTCTAGAGATACTGCCTTGCCAACTGTTACCTATTTATAGGACAATGTGTCCTCGTCTTAAAAAACGCCATCTCACAGTAGACTTGGTGGTTACCATCCTTATTCCAAGGTGATATTGTCAAGCTTATACAGATCTCAAATGATTTATGTATTTGTAGGTCTTCTATCTTTAAAAATGTTGCAAATGTCTTAATCACATTTATAGTTCCCAAAGCCTTAATTTTCCTTTGCCCTCATTCTGGTCTGTGCTCTAAATGGCTTCCTGCCGTGTTGATAGGGTGAGCAGAGATTGTGTCTGTCTTATTTATTACTGTTTCCCCATGTTTAGCACTGTGTGTGGCACAAAACAGGTGCTCAATAGGTATTTGTTGACAGACAGCTCTGCCTCTTCCATGGCTTGCCTTGTGTGGGAGCTGTGCTTACTTTGCCTTCCAGCGTTTTCTCAGAGAGCAGCCTTTAAAGGTATTTTGGGGGCAAGGGCAGGGTGCTTACTTTGTCATAGGCTCCCACCATTAGCCAACTCCATAGCAGACAATGGGACCTAAACTAGAAAACAAAAACAATGACCAAATACTACTTTCAAAATCTCTGTTTTTAGGGGAAAGTTTCTGGGAACTTTAATGGCCACCAAATCCCCATTCCGTCCTTTTTATTTTGGACACTTTAAAGACATTTGGAAATCATCATTTAAGCATAGCTAAAGATGTGTCTAACTTCCAGGAAAAATGAGATGGGGTCTTTGAGGGCAGGAAAGAGTCACTTAGCTTTCCCCAATAAAGTTTCCACTGGAAAGAGTAGCTGTTTTCTGTAGGTCAGTTCTGTTTTTTTGGAAAGGCATAATGGGACATGGGAAAGCATGGAGAGAACATTGGGAAGAGGGAAACTGCAGAGTCAGA